GCTCCCTTATTAGGGATTTATGCTTTGGTGGGAAATTACACCGTTATCTGACGCAGACCTCACTAGAAATGTAACAACACATTAGATCAATACAGCCCAAGACTGCTGTGTTGGCCTTTTCAGTATTGTCCATTCCTTCTGTGAGTGTCTTCTGGCTACTTTTTAACCAGTTTTTGAGTTCATTACTGAGAGGGTAGCCATCATTATCTCAATCTAAGGAATAATAATCATCGTATTAATGTAACATAGAAACAGCTAATTACTGGAAGGAGACTGCTGAAACTATTGGAATGGATATATGTACAAAGCAATTGGTATTTGTCCCTCAAATTCCAACACACACACACCCAAAAAGAGAAAATGGGGGTGGGGAAAGCTGACCACAAAGGGGGGTGGGGAAAAAATAAAGGTACTAGCATTTTATTTGTTTCTATCTTGGCTGAGCTTGCATCTAAAACACCAGGACACGATCATATGGTAATTAACAAATAAAGCGTACGCTCTTTTTAAATTTATTCCCCAGTTTTGTAATTTCCCTTACAGCTTTGGTATTATTATTCGGGATGGGCCACTACCTATGTTTAAAGTAGATTGGTAGATGTTTTTTGGAGTGAGTCATGTGATTTCTGGCTGTACTTCCATGACGTCATATTGACTATGACTGAAGATGACTCATAGTTGCAGGTCTCCAATAGCGTAACTACAAGGTCCTTAACCTGCCTCAGAATCGGACAAAAAAAATTTTAAATGCTAGAACAGTTTGAAGTATCATGTTAGCTTGGTGTTTGTCTTTAAGCATACTTTAAAATTAGTCAAAGAAACTTGAAGTAGTTACCAGGCAAATACTTAAAGCTTTGTTTTTAAGTTAATAAAAAAAAGTAACATTTTTAGGTTTAAACAAAAAGACGTGATTCGAAGAGGTTGGGAAACTGTTGCGGGCTACAACATTTAAGTCAGCCGGCTGTTCTTGTTAGTTATACATTTTTAAATGGCTCAAAAATACTGAATTGGAGGCCAACTGATCTGTTGGTATTTCCCAATCATTTACTATTGCCCTTGCTATGATGCACCAGTAATAATTGTTTTTTCTTTTTTTCTTCCTCTCCTCAATTACAGACCGTCACCAGGACAGAAGGGTTTGATGATTCTCTAATTGCAGCCAACGCTTCTGCCGAGGAAGCAACAGAGGGCAACGAGTCTTCCACAATCTCCGGTGTCGACATCGTCCTGAACCACAAACTGCAGGAGACGGGCTTTGACAAGAAGCAGTACATGACTTACATTAAGGATTATGTGAAGGCGTGAGTAGCTTGATGTGCCAGTGAGAAGGAGTTCTGGTTTTGAATGATCTTTGGCTCTGTTAAATGAACGTGTCTGTTTGCATGTCTAGTGTTAAAGCCAAGCTGCAAGAGACCAAACCAGATAGAGTGGAGAGCTTTATGGCTGACATCCAACCAGAAGTCAAGAAAATCTTGGGGAACATCAAGAACTACCAGGTAGCTATACAGAGATGAAATGGCAGTGTTAAACAGTGTTCACACTAAATATAAAGTTTTGCCTTGCGAATACAGTAACTACAATATTTTTGGAAACCCTTAAAAGCCAACGGGAAGGGTGAGGAGTGTAGACAATGGGTGGAGTTTGAGTGACATTTTCAAGTCTTGTAGGAAGGCCTGCATGTCACTTTGAGTGTGTGTCTATACAACACTTGAGTTAAATCATGCAGCTGAAGCTCTGAAAACTGGCAATAACCATGTTGGCACCAGGAGAATTCAGTGTATGGGAGAATCTCAGCTGACAGGTTTTTCTTTTGGGAGTCATCATCAATTGCTAATGGATTGCTAATCCATCCTGGAGGTGGATTTGCCTCTATCATTTGTCAGTTTGTAGCTTTATAGACTGTGATAACGTAGTTTGAATACTTGACATCTAGACTGGGTGCTGCTGTTAAGTAGTGTCAAAAAGACAAGTTTAACCAGCTTGCTTGTTTGAAATAAACATGTCAGTTCTTTGGCATGTTGATCTGTGACTGACAGCCAGCATCCCGAAGCTTGTTAATGAAACGAGGGTGATGAGGAGACTTTCCCCTGCCATCAAATTCAAGCAAAGCTGCCAAATTTGAAATTAGATTTTATTAGTTTTAAAAAATGTGGCATTTTGTGTTCTACTGTGAATAAATTATGGGTTTAAGAGTTGCAAATCTTTGTAATCCGAACTTCTTTTTTAATTAAAGATTTTCTGTACGACTGAGAGGAAGGTCTAATGGTTGCTGTTTGCTTGCAGTTTTTCACAGGAGAGTCCATGAACCCAGAGGGCATGGTTGGTCTGCTGGACTACCGTGAGGATGGCATCACACCATTCATGCTTTTCTTCAAAGATGGCCTGGAGATCGAAAAATGCGTAAGTGCTATGAAGTGGGAAAGACTTGATACATTTCTCAAACTACAAAGTGTTTCTGCTGGAGAACATCCGTATGCCACAGTACACACACTAATTCAGTCTGGATTTCTAAATGAAGGTTCCGTGTTTGTAAAATCATGCCTGCTGTCCACTTGGGTGTAGATAGTTAAATTTAATAACTACACACTGTTCCTCTCTCTTTCAAACAGTAACTACCTGGAATTACATCTGCTGTTCACCTGACTGCTGCTTCCAAAATGGCCTACAAAGCAGACTGGAGGAGCACTACCTTGCATCATGCCTGAACAGAAACATTGTCCAATTTCTTAAATATTCACATTACGGCCCACAGAACCGCTCCCAAACCTGGGGGGTGAATCAAACATGATTAGTCACCAAATACAGTTTTTAACCTTTTCTTTTTTGGCTTTTGCAGTGTTTGATTTTTGTCCCAGGATTGGCCCAGTTTTTGTGATTGAAACAAAAAGGCTTGGACAGCGAGCAAAGCTCTGACTGGCTGAAAGAAGACGTTTGTTTTCCTTCTGTCTGCATACTGTTTTAGCAACAATCCATACAGGTTGGCATCACCAGACCCCTTTGAGTTTGGGTTTGTGGTTGCATTAAATAAGATTCCATCTACAAAAAAAGACTTATGGTTTAATTTGAAAATGAATAAAAACGAGTACCACAACTTTCCATTTCATTTCTGTGTCAACCTTCACTTCTGGTGCTGCAAACAGGCAGTTTGTAGGTTGGATTTCAGAATATCCTTTTTGAATTGCTTGAAAAGATGCTGTTGTAGCGTTGACAAACTGATCTCATGTGCAGTTGTCCTTGGGTTTTCTCTTTCACCATTTTGATTCTCAGATATTTGTGAAGTGCAGAACAGTCACAGCCAGTAGCTGCTGGCAATGTAATGTGTAAGCTTCATGTATAAAAGCGAAATTCAAGAAAAAATGTTGCCATACAAAGTAATGAATAAACACAGAAATTAGGGTGACTAGAGCTGGTAGTACGGAGGTTGTTCAGGAGTGAACTAAAGTGCTTGCGGCTGTTGACCCAAGGTCAGGTGTGTGATGAATGCAATTTACTGATGAGATTGGTGTTAAATGTGTGAAGGTGATATGGAGGGCATCAAGTGCCAAAATTAGTTAGTGACATTAAATGTTAGTAATAAAATATCAATTTCTAATTTCAATACATAATTTCCAATTTTATTAATGACTTAATTCATTTTGATCGTCCATAGTTTTACAGTAGTGATTCAGAGCAGCCTAGTGAGCTGCAGTTTAATCCACTGCTCAAGGACTGCAGTACAAAGAAACGTGTGTAGCCAACTGTCGAACTGGTTGTTAGGACAGCACAGACATCAAATGTATTTGTTAGTTTATCTAAGGTGGTCTTTAGTCTCAACAACTAGATAACCTTAAAATAAACCGTCACTTGTTGCAAGGTTTGACAAGACAAAAGGTTGTTTTCCTGTAGACTTCTATAGGATTTGTAATGTCTGCAATCACAGCTATCACCATCTAGTGGCCTTCATACAGAATGCATATTTAAGACTAAATATGCTTAATTTCTAAAACAAACTGCACCCATGTTTTTGATGATGCAGTAAGTGTGAAAGCAGAGCTGTTAATTGACTTGTACATCTTCATTCCTATCCTCACCCACAGCCACAAGCTGTGGGCAGTGAATTAAAGGAGACTGAGGGTATAAGCAGGGGAAGTCTGTTCTCTCTGACGGGTGTCTGGGCTCAGGACTGTAACTTAGCTCTTCTCTACTCTTCTACACCAACACACTAGCAGCTCTTAATGTAGAGTTGGCACTGTCATGGTACCACAAAACTGCCAGGCTGAGAGCTAAGAGAGAGGTTATCAGAAGAAATCCACAAAGGATTCGCAAACACGTTTTTTTTTCTTCTTCCCCATGGATGTTACCCCAACTGCTGTTATGTGGCATTTTCAAAGGGTCTCAAACCTTTTGAAATGTGGGCTACTTCTCAAAAGCAACCAAAGCAGAACTGCTTTGCACTGTGCTGGTGGGGGAAAATAAAAGAGGTAAAAGTAAAAGACAATTCTATTAAAGTGTGTTTGTCTATACTTGTGACTTGTGTGAAGATGAGATCACATTTTGAAAAAAATAAGCTGGTTACAGAAGAGTTAATACTTTTGTTAATTACAAAAACCAAATTGCATGGCTTTAAAAAAAAAAAGGAAAAAAGAAAGTTGTGCTCACTACTGATCTCACTCGAAACTAATGGGAATGAGACCCGCTGACACACATTTAATAGCTGGGGTGCAGTCAGACCAGCAGCAGCAGCTGGTGTGATTCATTGTAACCATAGTTTAAGGCTGTTCATAGTTGCCATAGTAACACTCCTAGAAAGAGGCAGCATTACTAGAAGTTTCGAGCCAGTTTGCCCCTTAATCTTTGTTTTCCTCAGCAGAGGACGTTTATTTCTTTCTTGGAATACACACAAAAATTTATCCTACCACAAAAATAAAGATTTTACACCATCGTGCCATATTAGTTATGTTTGAGTGCACCCAAAGCTTTTTCTCCCCATAATTCTGTCAACATAAAACAAAATTACTGGAAAAAAAAAAACAAATTTGTTGTAAATTTGAGGCCCAGAAGATACTTCAGAGGACTCTGACTCGGCCTAGGTGGTCTGCATCTCCTCCTCGTCAGATTGGTAGTGTCGGTACTCCGGCTTCAGTTCCCAGGTGCTTTTGTGAACGCCTTTGCTGTTGTATGTGCCGATTTCCCTCATGATTTCTTTCAGGTAGGTCTGTGCCAGACACAAGACGCAGCTTGAAACATGGTGCATTTAAACAGATGTGTTGCATGATTTTGTGGACAATTTGTAACTAACTGAGCACAAAGAGCAAACATTTGCACCTTGTTACTTTAACCCACACAAAGAAAAAAGTATGCCTTCATTTTTCAGTTCACACCCACTTTCTGCTGTGCTTGTTCTAAACCAGTTGCTAAACCGGTACTGGCCTCATATTTATCTTTAAGTACCAGTTATTAGTATATGACACTACTGGGAGCTGATGATTGACTCCCTGCCTTTGTCTGCTGCCTGATCCACAATGCTCCAAATCCACGTGCCTCTTCCTGCATGTTGTGGTTCCACAGGAGGGCCGTCCCACATACAGGGGTGTGGAGCTCACAAATGGCTCAGAGAAGAGCCACAACTCCTTCGCACCCAGAGAAGTCAGCTCAGGCGATTTAGACATGTGTCTATGGCCCCTCCCAGGTGAGCTGTTGAACTGTGAGGAAACCCAGTGCATATGAGAGAGAGCGTGTCTCTCGATCTCCTCATGATGGACTCGAGCCACTATGGTGGTGACCACTGTTTAGAAAATTTCCCCTGAGATCCACAGGGGAAATATTGTGGGGTCTAATAAATCACTGATCTGTTTCCACAATCACTCTATGCTATAAGAATATGAGATTTCTGGCTTCTGGTGTCCTTTTTTCCCCCTCAGTTATGGATCAAGTATATTCCCAGAGTACTAAAAAGAGCTCCACTGGTAGAAGTAGTTAGTCTAAGGTTAGGTATAATCCATTTTTTGGTTCAGGGGCGTTCACGCAGGAAGCAAAAAGCAGAAACTAAAAACCACAAAAAGTCAATGGCATCAGCAACTTCAACTGACAACAGAACAGAAATAGCTGCAGTTTGTGGGTCCCGAGTTAAACTTTTCTGAACTTTTTCTTTTCTGAACTGAGGTAAGCGACTGAAGTGTCTTCAGGAAAACTGCCACTGACTGACATGTGACAGGGTGGCAAATACGGTAGTAGGTTACCTAGGCAACTGGATAACCCTAATAATCATCCACCAGCTACAAAGACAAGTGCAGTGAGCAAATATTCCCCTTTAGGCACAACAACCCTGGTTTAGCTGTCAGAGGGTTAGAGTGGACCAGATATGCTTTTCCTTATTTCTTTTTTCAAAAGCACCTGTAGCATACTGTTGCAATTGTAACAAACTTATTTAAGGATCATATCAAACAAGTACATACACGGACTCATTATTTGAAACAAGTGGCCAAAAAGCTGTTTCTTCTTACTTTAAATCATGCGCTAACATTGACTTTTGGTTTAATCAGCAGGCATGAACTCGCAAGCAGGGGCTACTCTTTGGTAGATCAGACAATCCTCTGCAATGACCAGCAGGTGTCTCTGTTGAGCTTGTAAAGACGCGGCCGCCAACTGATGAATAACCGTAATGTGCTTCAAGACTTTTCATAATGGGCATTTCGGTTACTTTAGTTCAGTTAATTTGAGTGCTAGCCAAGTGCTTTAGGAGAGAAATGATGGTGTAGAGTGTATTGGGGCGTTTGACTCCTACTCAGCCACTGGTTATGCAATCAGATGCAATCAGAGGGAGAGGAGGACCTAAAGGTCTCATCAGCACCTACACATTTCTGTTCACTGCGAGCTGGAACAAATCCACTGCACTGTATCGATTCATGCCATGTGTGCGTGTGCACACGTTGGCCCAAATTTCAGCCACAACAGATAGTGTGAACAGGCATGAACGTCACACCGTGGGCGATTTGTTCAAATTTAACAAAGCAAGGTGGATAGTGGGCAGGTGTATTGGTTTTTTTTATGCTTTTTACAGTGATGCTGTTGCATGTGTGCATGTTTGAGTGTGTGTACATGTTGCCTGTTTCACATGGGTTTGTGTGCGTGCACGCTGCTCACCACAGGTTGTTTGGTGATGTCCACCAGCGCCTTAATGTTGTAATACTGGTGCTTCTCGAAGGCCGAGAATAGCATGTCCAACACGAGCTGACGTTCAGCTCTCACCATCTTCCCTTCAGTCTTCTTTTTCTTCTCATACTCCATCTTAGACCCAAACTCAGTATTAAAACTGATGACAGTAACATTAATGACAGTTAAAATGCTATATAATATAGCCAGACTAAAGACAACTAAACTCATTTCAGTTGGATTTAAACACCAAAAATTGTGCACTGACTGTTTTCTCCTGATTTGAATCAGCAACTGATGGCACACTTGTTGCATTCCCCCCTTGGCTTGTTCAGTTTTCACATAGAATTCAAACTGAACCAAAATGCATTACTGAACGCCAAAGTCTAGGACCTAAACCTGGAAGTGCTTTGTTGTTATCTTGGAACAGGTTCTGAGGTCATATCCCCACAAATTAACCCCACCAAAGGGGAAAATGAGCCAGAGGCAATTAACCTGGAAGACCACAGAAAATACAGATCACAGATGGGTCTAGCAGCTGTATATGCTTTGTTGAAATGCTGTGATCCAAGTTTCACCCATCAAGGTTAAATGGTTATGATCAAAACACTCAAATGGACATCACAAGCCAATGGATGTCCATCTTTTATGTACAGTCTATGAAATTGCTGTAGACCAAAGACGCCAAGTCAATATATAAACCTGTTAGTTTAAAATGTTAATAAAATTGTGACCCACAGAAGGTAAAATACCTTTCATACCATAATTATTCCCTTCAAGAGGTTACATTACAAAAACTACATATATATGTGTGTTTTGATTCGCAAAGTGTGGGCTGCAACCTCCTGGTGGGCCATAAAGGTACTGCAGGTGGGAAACGAGAAGTCTTGTTTATTTAAAAAAATTTTTAACTGAACTATTTAACCTTTTTTAGCACATCGTAGCGGTTAAGACAGTCACCTAACACGTGAAAGAGCCACAACTGGATACAAACAGTTCCTGTAAAATTTCCAAAACGTATAATAGATAAAAATATAATTTAAAAGAATTCCCCTTAATCCTGTAAAAGAATGCGATAAGATGCACTTTTATAAAATGCATTTTTAGCTGGTTTTTTTTAGTAATTTAGTTAAAAATTTCCATGAAATATTTATATTTTAAGATGGAACTGAACAAATGCAACAAAGCTGAGGAATAAAAAAAAATAAAAAAAAGTTCTTTCCATTTCTAATCGATTTTTAATCCTGAACTCATCTTATATCTCGTCTTTAGCTGGGAAAGAACTTAATACTGAAAAGTAAAGGTGCTGATGGAGAATCAAGTTCAGCAAGCAAACCATTAGAAGATCAAAATGCATTAAAGAAAACACAAAGAAAAGTATTATCTGCTTGTGTGATGAAGAGATTGATGAAGTGATGAAGGCTGGGTCATTAATACATTTCAAACTGTGCTGTCTGAAGTTTGATGTGATTCATTCTGGTTGAGAGAGACTTTTAAGTTACTTTATGAAAGACGACCTTGCAGGTGGCAACATTACGTCAGCACAACAGCTTTTTTTTTTTTACCCTACAATGCCAAGTGTATCCTATTAGATCCATGAGTTTTTAAGACTTCTACATCAACAGTGGTATTTTTTCCTTGCCCTGCTACTGTGAGCAGCAAACAGTAATACAAATTAAAACTCACATATACACGTTGATATTCAATTTCTTTTTTTTTTGTCAAACAGGTGATACAATGAGTCAAACTAGTTACAGACACATGCATACAAGGACTGCTGATATTACGTCTCACATTGAAATCATGGTTGGCCACAGGCTTGAAAATGGTGGTGACGGCTCTCTCCAGCTGCTGTGACAAACGCTGAGGCTTGATGGACTCTTTAATCTGCAATCTGACACACACACACACACACACACACACACACACACACACACACACACACACACACACACACAGTGAGAGAAAGTTTCCTCTATCATCTGTGCTCTAACGTCTAATGTGATCTCAGCTGACAGATTGGCCTGTTGGCACAAAACACAACTGTCATAACCTTGGGCTTGAGCTAAGCAAACAAGTAATGGCAGCTGCTTTGCTTGAAGATATCCTGCTTTCTATTTATTTATTTTTTTGACTTTCATTAATCTTGACTCACATTTTTTTTTATTAAAGTTCGACCATCAAATCAAACAGCAAAGCACTCTGCCTCCCTGATGTCCTGCCATAATCACTGTGATAACTGATATTGGCCACAAGCACTCCTGCTTCAGTGCTGCCATTAGTGAAGCCGATTGTCCTCCCCATTTATAAATAAACCCAATAATGATCAAATTGGATCTAATGCATACATTTATTCGATTGAATATTTTCACTAATGTACCGGAAAAGGTGGTAAAGAGCTTCATATAATCATTTGAAAATGTAGCGAAACTATTCTTGAATTGTGTCCACACACACAGACGCCACCATGACAACATAATGTCCTTCATTATCCTGTAGCCTGAAATGATGGAGGGCCATTTGTCAGCTGCTGTCCAACTGGGAGATTAAAAAACTGGATCCAAAAGTGAAGAATTTTCTTCTCAAGTTTGTGTCGAAGTACAAATCAGACAGATCTAAGTTCGCTCCGTGCTCTGTGTTAGATAAATACTGCCATCCTGTAATGTTTAAGGAGGATCTCAGCTTTGTTACGAACACACACCGGCCATGTTAGGGACAGAGGACGTAAGACTGCTTTTTTGCACTTCAGCTTTCAAGGTGCTTTTTGTTAGTTCTAATGTGCCTCGCTGATTTGATGGTCGACAGAGGAAGCGTCTCACACACTGCTGTGTTTTGTGTTTGCCTTCGGTTGGATTGTAGCAGTGCATCTGCCACAGTGATGCTGTTGCTATAGCAATGCCATCCTCCAACTCTGGCTGGAATAGCATAATCCAATGAAGAGGAGACAGAAACCAGTTTGGAAATAAAAAAATTTAACCCCCCCCCAAAAAAAACAGCCAGAGTGGACTCAAGTGTTTAGTGTACACAAATTAACAGTTGCAGTCGTGATCCTGTCAACACGCTGCCAACTTGTCTACTCACGCTGGAATTAATTCACAACACTTGAATAGATTTCGTGCTTTTCAGGGGTGAAAGAAGCAAATTCAACAGCACACTTCCAAAACAACAAATAACACCCTTACTGCTTTGTGTGTTTGATGTACATTTGTGTTTGATGCTCTCCAAATGTCATACTTTGTTACCAGTGCACCTCTAAAATATCTGCGTTTGATGGACCACAATGTATCTGACTTCCCTGAACTTGCAGCGACTGTTTTTATATTTTTATACAGCCTCCTATTATCAAGGACTGAAAAGTAATTAGGCAAACTAAGAGAATTTTAAACATGAGGATTGTTTTTCGTACAATCAAGTCTAGAACCCAGGGACACCACCAATCGGTTGCTGTGTTCTGAGATGAGATGCTCTGCCAGGGATTTGCTGCAGCCACCTTCAGTTGCAGCTTGTTTGTTGTTTTTTCTGCATTCAGTTTTGTATCTAATGCCTTCAACTTATTTGCTCTGAACCTGAGCAGAGATTATAGGTCTGTCATCAATAAACACCAGTGATCCGGTTCCGCTGGCAGCCATGTACATGCCCGTGCCAGCATGTTTGACAGATGACATGGTTTGACCTGTTTCCATCTTTCTTCATACTTTTCTCTTTCCTAATTCTAGTACAAATTAATCGTGGCTTTATCTTTTTTTTTTTCTTCCCAGAACTTCATTTTTAGATGTTTTCTGGCAAAGTCTAATTTGGACTTTTTGAGTGTAACCAGCTTGTTGTGCCTTGCTGCAAACTCTCTGTATTTCCATGCATGAAGGCATCTCTTGGTTGTAGAATGTGACAATGATACATCTACCTCCTCGATAGAGTTCCTAACTCTCTTTTCCGTCTGTATATTATTCTAATCAACTGCAATAAGAACCACTGTAATGTTGAAGTTTTGGGGATTACATCATCTAAAGCAAGATGAATTTAACAGCTTTCAAACTGCAGCATTTGGAAGAGAAATTTTAGCGTTCACTCACTTCTTCAGCTTCATGTAGCTGTCAGTGACGACTGGTCTGCATTCGGCTCGGTGCACCACCATCCCCTCCAGACTGATTTCATCTACAACAAAGACAGTGACTCAACTGCTTAATCATGATTCAGACACACAGATTCTGTAAGCGGAGGGAAGTCTTTGTTATCCACATTTTATTGATGTGTAACTCAAACAACACACACACACATTTTTATTGAACTGCAGGTATCTTTAGTGCACATTTGGAAGAATCAGTTTACAAGTAACTACCAGAAACGGTTTTTAACCTCTTGAGAACTTGGGTGAATGCACACATTCCTACCTTCAGCCTATTTGAAGTGGACTTGCAATGCATTTCCTTATTTTATATCTTATATATCTAAACCGTTGCATTTTAGATACTTTAAAAAATGGGCAAGTTTCACTTAATGAGGTATTCATGAATAATTTCTGTTAGAAGTTCAGACTTCAGACTGCTGTAGATGGTTGCTTTCTTACTTAATTTTTATTTGCTTTTTATACTGAGGTTTTCTGACATCATGAGTACATTGCTCGTGAGATGTCCACCATATGGGGCAGGATACAGCCACCAGTTGCTAGGGAAACATGTATTCCCCGACTGGTCGGTAGTGGTTCCTTAATGTTGGTTGATATCAGCTGATATCAGATGTTGCTGCAGAAGAAACTTCCTGGTGATTGCTTTGGTTGCTAGCAGATTGTTAGCAGTCTGCAAACACACAAACTACTAGCTGAGGAGTAGCAAACCTTGAAAAAGCACGATGGAAAGCAGAAGACGGCTTACCAAGTTAGTTATTTACTCTTTTTTAATTTAATAGTATTTAATTTAAAAAAGTAGGCTGATATTTCCACTGATAGATATTTCAGCCACAGACTGTACATATTCAAGAAGGAGAAAACAAACATTTAAGTGAGACCTTGAATTTGATTTAGAAACAACTCAAATGGCACACAAAACCATCCCGACGTTGGCCGAGGTTAACGTGACTGACAGCAGACAGCAGAAGATGAGGTCTTGAGTGGGGGATAAATGGAAAGGGCAGATGAAGATGATGATGATGAGGGAGACTGCGACAGTGAAATTGAACGCGATAATTAAAGGCCGTTACACGGATGTGACAGTCTATGATGACAGCAGATCACACCTTTTTGCTCCACACCACGTCCTTTTCTACTCTGAAGATTCACAATTATTCACACTGAGTGTTTACCTGCATTTTCAAGCAACAAAAACAACCAGCCTGCACGCCCACTCTCACTACCCCCGTGCATAAAAGCTTTTTGAGGATTCCTCATTGAAGGTCATTTCATGTGGGGGCTGTGGTGCCCCCTGGTTTTCAGAAACTAAAGCTCACTGTGTTTCTAAAAACGTCAGTGTGCATTCGTCGGTGGTACCATTGAGACTCGAGTAGGGCCCAACCTGGACCGATTAGGAGCTTTTCCAACATAAGAGCCAAACCCATGGCTTTAACAAGGAGACACAAAACACAATTTTTTTTAAAAAAAGATACTTGTTGTGGTCATTTTGCATCTCTTTATACTCGTTTCAGCACCTCTCACAGGGAGAGTACAGGAAACAGTTGAAGAGGGCAGTTAAAACGTTTAGATGTACTTGCTGTAATCTGTTCAAAATTCAATCATCAGCATTAAAGTTAGTCAGACTCTTTTTTTGGGAGAGCATTACGTTAATTTCTCCCAAAATACACTTTCTGAGATTTGTGATACACTTCTGAATGTCTTCTATCGCCACAAAGCACCTGAACCCAGCTGTACATCAGTTTAGACACAGACCGCAATTTACCAACACTTTCCAATCCAATCTGTCACAGCAGGAGACAATACGCAACGAGCACAAGTGCTTCAAAAGCCAGGTGTGCGCTGCTGCTGCTAGAAGGAGCCTCAAACATGCTCGTAGCCGTAATTGCTGTCAGTGGAGCGCTACAAACAGCTGAGTGCACTGAATAAACTACGTAGCTCGTTTATCAAGTATAGCTGTCTCTTTTAAACAAGTGCACCAAACTGCATAATTACTGGATTCGCTCATAAGACTGGAAACAGACAAGCTGCTGTATCTTTATGCATACGTTTAAATGCAAGGGACTTTTATTTGATCACATCCAGAGAGTTTCACTTTCACACATTTCAACTAGCATAAAGCATCAAGTGAACATACTTATAGTCCAGCCAGAACTCGCAGCTTGACATTTCCTGCCGTTTGTCATTCACCCTGCACAAAGGTTTTTCTTTTGTTAGATTTATTTTCAAGCTGTTCTTTCATTAGGTGCTTTAGCCAATTATCCAACTGCCCAACCCACAACCTTGTTGCTGAACCGTTTGATGCCTCTTCTGCTCCTCTCCAATCATTATCGGGAGCCGTTTTCTGTTTTCTTTTTTTCTGAACGTTCAGGAAATGCCGGAGTCCAGTTGGTGAGCGTTGGCGTCAGATTGGCAGCGGCTCTCGCTATTGTGCATTGTTGGCATCGTTTGTAGCCGGACGCGCAAAAAGGTCCAAAAAGCCACTACATTTTACACTCATCATTTAACAAAACCAGCAGAAAGACGAAGACGCTCAAAGGGTAAACAGAAAGAGCGAGTCTACAGGGAGCTGCAGAGGCCAGCAAATAGTTGGCGAGGCATTCATAATGAATAGCCTGATAGGCCTGAGTGACCTGTGCAGCAGAGAGACAAGCTGTCAAACTTATTTTAACAGGCTCTTCTTATTTTTGAGGTGGTAAATCCTGTAAATCCTTGATGGCTACACACCAACCCTCTCATATCCATCTGCACCCTGTGCATTTTTCCTTTTTTTTGTTTCAGTCCCTCCTACTTGAAACGGGGGCATAATGCAAAGAAACGGTCCCCGGCATAGACGTCTCTCCCTCTCGGGCGTCATCCGAAGAAACGTCAGTTTCTGATGACGGAGGCGCAGCAGGATCACCTGTCAGTCGGCTTCTTTTGTTCCCTCGTCTGCGTTAGCCCAGATGATGCAGCATCCTGTCCAGATAATTACAAGGGTGCATATCATAGCTTGCGAGGCAGTTATTGTTTTACCGATCTTCTCCCAAATGACTAAATAACGTAAAAAATATGTCTCTGCATGTTGGCCCTTAAAAGCACATGCATATGCTCTACTAACCCATAATGAAAGCACAATTACATTTTAATCCAGGCTGCCTGAAAATTTTAGGATTTTATATACTGAATAAAAAAAAAAAAAACCCATACACTAACAAATATATACACTGTACTGTCCATATCCATTAGTTTTAACAGGATATTAAATAAGAAACTCTAGAAGTTCATTTATTGCTGATATAAACTGTAGCGCTGTGGCAAAGTAACAGCTATTGAATCATTTAATATGAAGCTCGACCCTTCTGAGGGAAACCTCAGTGCTAAGTTTTAATTATGAAAGTGCAAGAAACAATGAAACAAGGCAAATATAACTGTGGTTCAGATAGGGTTGTACAAAAAAAGTGAAAACTATCTATTGGAGCCACTATCTCTGCTGTTTTTGATGATCCCTGATGTCGTCGCTGCCCTTCCTGTTCTGGCTCACTTTTCAATCAGCGTTTGATCTACACACAATGTCATCCATGTTGATACTGATCTGTTGGGTCTTTGGAGGCCTGCACGCAAGCGCACCTACTTAGGTTTCATACCCTTCTGTGTGGGCTCTGCGTAGGCAAATAGACATGCAAATGGACATGAGTGCAGAACCGTATAACAGGCGTGAGACTGCATGCCTCCACCTCTCACTGTGCATGAACGCAACTGAAGATAGTGAGCTTCATTCATAGTTTGTATAATTGTGCGAATTTGTGCATAAACAATGCTTATGATCATTCCAACAGCATATCTGGAATGACATTAATACCATTTAATATCAAAATAAATTTATTTATTATCTTGTAGCAGCCTTGAGGGGTGAGGGGTCACTAATGCAAAGACTCATGGGACTGTTCATGTTGATGTTAATCTGTTAATTTAAGATGCTATGACAGTTATTGCATTTATGTTTTGTTGGTCCTTCATTGTTACTGTTACGTTATCATCTGAACTCCAGTGTTTTCTTGTCTGCTTGTCTGAAGGTGACGTTGAGTGCGGCTGCCAATTTGCCACTGTGATTTAGACTGTTGAGGCAATTAATGACCTCTGGTCACTGTTCATGTTTGCGGGGTTGTGTGTTAATGCTAATAAGTTTTAATGCTAATAAGACGACAAAGAGTGGTGCACAGAACACAAGAGCCGCAAACACACAGCAGCAAGTGTTTCTTGTGGTTTGTGTTCAGATATTTTTATTCTGTTAGGCTTTTCTTTTCTACACATCAAGTTATTATTATTGTATTGAGTTATTTATTTTACCTGAGCCATAAGTCCATGACAATGTTGGACAGGCGTCTCTCAAAGAACAACGTAATCGCTTCCTTTGTGATCCAGGAAACCTGCTTCCTTCTAAAGAGAAATGGACACGTGGCAGAAAGCAAAACATGGACTGAAACTTGATGTCCCAGAGGTGTTCTTTTGGATTTAGGTCAGGTGAGCATGGGGGCCAGTCAGAGGTATCAATTCCTTCTCTATGAACTGCCTGGATACTCTCGCCATATAAGGCCGGACGTCGTTGTGCACCGGGAGAAAACCCAGGGTATGACAGTGCATCCAAGGATTTCAACCAATAGCAGTCAGGGTGCCACTGCCTAGCCTGTAAAGGTCTGTGCATCCCTCCATGGACATCCCTCCCCAAATCACTCTTGACCTGCTACCAAACCGGTCATGCTGAATGATGTTACAGGCAAGGTAATGTTCTCCTGAGAGCTCCTACTCGCTCTTGAGACTGTGCTGGGAGAGGTATTGTCTCATGCTACCAGTACTGACACTGACCCAAGCCAAATGCAAAACCAGAGTGGAAAAACTAATCAGTCTGTGGCCCCCATCTTTAAAAGTGTTTTGGGGGTTGTCTCATTGTTGCCAATTTAATTACCAGCAAATCAGCTGAAACTGATTAACAACCTCCTCTGTTACGTAACCGACCAGATCAATATTCAAGAAGTTTAAATTACTTGATGCT